AGGGTTTTTTTAATATAGTGGGTTTTTTAAAAAATGAATGGTCGTGCTCTTTTTATTTTAAAAATACATGCATACTACTGTGTCTTCAACCTCACTTTTTATACTTCTGCTCCTTTCTGAGCCTCCGCCCTCCCGCACTTGCTGGAGCAACTACACGCTCCGAAGATCAGCTTACCCTCAAGTAAACAGAGAAAAACAGCTGTTTGCTCCATGCATAGAAACAAATGTCTAGCAACGTCTGGGGTGAAGGCATGCATTGACCTGAACTCCAAATTTTGCATTGTCAGTTTTGCAGGATGAAAAGTATGAGGCTGGAACCCTGTGGAAGGTCCCATTCTAATTGCCTACAGTAGCCAGAGGGGCCCTGCAGGGTATTAAAATAGCAGGCCCCTGACAGGCACCTCTCAGCACCACACCGGATGGCGTTGCCCAGAGGGCCTATTGCTAATTTACAGTGTACAAGGTGCTCATGGCCTTATATAGACCCCATTTACCAGGCAGGCTCCAAAATGGCGAGAACCCACATTTGCACCAACCCTTTGTTCACAGAGAAGCTCCCCTTGAAACCACAGGCAGCGAAGACTCCGGTGGATCGAAGGCTCTGGTGGATTGGGCCCGTGCGGCTTTTTCTTGTTAAAATGTTCAGCAGCCTAATTAAGAGCCACGCTGTGGGTGTGGGGAAGGACAGAGGGTGAAAGCTCAGACTTGAGAGCAAGTCTGTCATATATAGATAATCATCTACAGTATATGCTGTAAACCTGCACAGTAACCAGGAAATGGAAGGGAGCCCATTTCTGTATCTATCCGGGTGTCCAATGGAGTTTTGAACTCTCGCACCAGGCCGGCAGCCAAACCAAACCATTTTCAGATGTGCCATCCAGCGCGGAGCAGGTGGAATTCATTTCGGCATTTGTTGTTTTAATTCTCATTACTATTTTCCCAATAAAGGAGAGTCATTTATCCTGCGCCAGGATTTGTATCCCATAGAATGCCTGGATTCACTTAGCTGAACTTAAACTTGGCAGATTACATATGGTAACAGTATCAGTTGCACTACGATTCCCTGGCGCCCTACCTTCGTTTCTGTTTTTTATGAAACAACCCCTTGTTTGCAGCCAGTTTTATGATTTTGATCCAGAGCGCTGCACTTCTAAACGGCACAGATCATTCCTTCCTCCGCTTCACCCCTATACAGACTTCTCTCCCCCCCCCCAGTTGTCTGGCTCACCTTCAGGTCTTGAACTTCCATCATCCATCGCAAGCTCAGCTCCAAGACATTTTTCTTACACAGAGTGCAAATAATTTATCCATTTTGTTTTTATTTTCTGGGAGTGAGTTACTTTTCTGGGAGCAAAATCCACTTTTCTAAGCTGTGCCAAACAACCAGCCATCTTATCCTGCCCCCCCTTCCCCCCCAACCCCAAGAGTTGCACCAAAAGACAGTAAATGCCAACTCTATGTTATGAAGGTACCAGCCTTGGAGTAAGAGCCATTTGACCGCGGAACAAACTGCCCCAAGTTGGTGGTGGGCTTTGCTTCTTTGGATATTTTCAGCAGAGACTGGGTAGCCATCTGCCCCTGGTCCTTTAGCGGTGGATGTTCTGCATTGCCTGGTGCAGGACTAGATGACCTCTAGTATCCCTTCCAGATGTACGTTTTGACGATCCTGTACACTGTACTGTATTTGCAACTGAAAAGGCCAAGTGTGTGTCTCCAGGGATCCACCATTGCACCCTTGGTCATAAGGTGTGTAGGGCTAGCTCTTAACAGTAAAACCTCTATTTGTGGTTATAGATTTGACTAATTTATTCCTCAGCATCTGCTTCTTCTCAATTTTTGTATTTTATATCCCAATTGACTGTCATCCTTTTTTCCCCTGCCCACACATGGCATCCACCTTGCCTAGACTTAAGCTAAATACAATCAAAAAGTGGCTGGATTAGGCCAGACATGTTCCAGCTACCAACCATGTGGCTTCTCTGCATCTTATGACCTTCTCCACCTCACAGCTGGCCAACCTACAACCTACCTAGAGGTAGAAGGATGAGTGCAGGCAATGAGCATTCAGGCAACTGGCCACCAAAATTACGTAAACATGTGTGGCTGTTACATTTGGAAAAGCATCTCAAAGCTCAAAAGATATATAGAGAGATTACATTACGGGAACTCTTGATGGAATTCTGCACAACCTCCGTTTCTATGGGAAGCCTGTATCTCCCTATCGCTGCCTTCTTAACCAGACGTGTCAGGCTGCGACTCGTGTCTCATCTTACAAGGATATGTGATACTGGATCAATAATGGCCTCTGTTGCTCTGTTTCTATGGGGGGGGGAATTACAAACCATTGCAAGAAGTCCTTAAGGTAGAGAAAATAAAACACTGCAAAGGCAGCGGGTTTTTAAAAAATGTCCTAGTGTGTGTTTTTATTCCATTATCAATTATACAATGTTTACATACAGGTATGATTCTCAAAAACTGATCAAAACAACAACAACAAAAGTGTGTTCAACAGACATGTGACAAATAGCAAATTTATTTGATTCCCTTCAGCTTTGGACCAAACCAGAAGACAAGCCGGAATTCCTCAAAGCCAGATTCATTTGGTCTTGTTCCCCAGCGTGGAGGGGAACTTTTAAGATGTTGCCGCAGAATAAACTTTACAGACCCAGAAAGGCTGCCTGCCATTTTGTAGCAAGCTGTACATCGCACCCATTTCTGAACACAGGCGTTCATAATCAAAACAGTTCACAAGGAGCGGGCGAGGGGGTGTCGTCCCCCCAGGTCTGTTGGGTTTTTGAGTCATGGAAAGCTGAAGACCTCTGGAATAAAAAGATCCATGCCTTGCCTAAATTGTCCAAATAGCAAATTTAAGTACCATATAAGCACCTTTTGTGTTTATTTCAAGGAATGCCAATCAACACTCGCCCCCCCTCCTCTTCCTGGGTCCTCTCCTGGGTTTTTAATTTTTGTTTGACGGGATAATTCAGCAGCACCGATTGAAGCTTCGTTCTGTGGCCCCTTCCTCAACGAGGATCGCACTCCATGAATGCTACTGAAGTTTGTACAAAATTTGCAGGCAAAATTTCGGTCGGAAATATGGCACGGCTAAATGCTATTTTTAGCCTATACGTAACCCCCACCCCACCCCCCGATCTCAGTGTTTCCCTGGATCTTGTGCCTAGGGTTCAGCAGATGGTCTTGTGATTCTGGCAAAGTGGGGAGAAAATAATAAAGACACATTCCAGGGGATTTCATGGCAAGCAGGTGTTTTTAAAAAAAAGAAAGAAAGAAAAAAAAAACAACTGACAGAAAACGGATAGTGGTGTTGCCGCAGTTAAGGAGGTGCTCACATGTTGTTTAACTCCAGTAAAGTTTGATCCAGCATTTGATGCATATTGAGGTTTTCTTCTTTGGCATGTGCCACTTTCTCTGTGGTGGGTTAGAAAAACGAAACAAGGTCATTCGGACGCATCTGTTTTAACTGTTCAAAGGCAAACACCAGCTTGAAAGCCAAGCGAAGTGTCCACGATCGTGAAATACAGTACTTGGGTTTTCCAGCCCAGATAATTTTTGCATTTTTGCAAACCGAAAGGGGCAAAGCACCTTGTAACAGTGGGGCACCCCCTGAATTCAATGGGCAGGTACAGCTTGTAGCAGAATTAAGGTGATAAGGATTTTTCCTTAAGGATTATTCTTAAACAGAATAAGCCCAAGGATTTTTTTTTAATAAAAGAGTTTATCGTTTGTATTTCATCAAAAGTACATTTAACCGCTATTTTTTAAAAAAACCTTGACCGTTTTTGTTTTGTTTTGTTTGGGGAATCTTAGAAACAAATTTAGCACCACAAAATTACTATAGGCGCAGACAAAAACTAAAAATACTTTCAGCAACCCTTTCTCTCTTTTAAGGCAAAAAAAAAAAAAGATGTCAAGAGAGCTAATTCCAGACAAAACCTGGAAGAAATTTAAATATGTTCTTAAAGCTGCTGAGCAGAAGGATTTCAGAAAGAAATTTACCCCACTAAAATCTGACAAGCAAAAAATGGAGGCGGTAGAAAGGAAATCCACCTTTTGACTGGGAAAAGCCCAGTCATCTTCTTGCAGCGCAAACAACAGAACAAAACAGAAACAAACCCACACACCCCCAGACATGTCACAATAGTTAGTTTTCATGTCACATGCAACACAGACGTGAACCACGCTTTAGAGACACTGCACGCAAAAAAACGGGCTCAGAACCACAAACAACCAAGCATTTTTACCACAACGTCAGTGTACCTCTGAACTGACAAAGAGATTGTCGACAGGAAAGCTGCTTATAAGGGGCACTGGATTTAAAACATGCAAAAGGCCTCTTTTTTTAAAAAAAAACCCCAAGATTCATAAGACATGTTTAAATTTTAAACACAAACCAGCTCAGATGACATTCTAACCAACTCAAATTGGGGATTTAAAAAAAAAAACACAAAAAAACAAAGGCATGGGTTTCAGGTTTTTCTCCTTTCTCCAATTATGGGGTGGAACTTTGCACATAAAGAAACAGTCAGCTTGGTTGTGTGTGCTTTAAATTATTGCCAAGAGCAGTCTCGGTCTCAAAGCAGGGAAGGAAATATCTTATACACAGAAAACAATGGATCGTGGAAGTTTCAAACTTTCCAAAGTCAATTTCCTCCTAACTGACAGCAGATCCTTCTTCTAAATCCTGCAGAGGTCCCCTTGGGTACGTTCAGTATGAAATGAGCCTTAAACCATATTCATTAGAAAGAGTGGATTCGTCCTAAAGCTTAATCCTCATTCAGGGCCAACTTTAGTTCGTTAGTGAGACGACGGTTTTGCTCAAGCTGCCGGTAGAGCTGGTCTGTACGGTCGGGCAAGCGGGTTAGAAGAAAAGAGAAAAAGGCAGAAGGAAGAAAACGGTTAGAGAGGGAGAGAGACAGCCAGAAAGTTAACGAAGGAAATTAAGAAGTCACACAGTACAGGCAAGTCAGTAGAAATGGCTTTGGATGAGTGAGGAAATCTCTATCCCAAAAAACCTCGCAGGAGCACACCGTATTAGGAGGTAGACCTTGTTGCAAAAGATAATTTTAGAATAAGAGAAACCTGCACGCCCGAAGGTGGTTGACTGGATGAGTTCCGACGCCAACGGAAGAAAGTGATTGTTCATACACGGACCTCAGAGGGCGGTGGGCTCTTTTTCATGGAAAAGCCATCTGAAAAGTCAGGGATGTGCCAGGTGCTCGACTTCCTGTATCAGCAGGGGGCTCAGCTAGATGACCTCGGGGGTGTCATTTGACTCAATGGTTCTACGGACTCCCACTCAGGTCTGCAGGGGTGGCGGTGCAAGGACACCAGAGCTTGGGGGAAAGTTACTTTTTGAGACAGTTCTTCCCATGTTAGAGGTCGGGGGATTCTGACCATGTTCTCCCCCGCTCCAAAAGAGAGAAGGGAAATTTCCTCCACTCCGAGCATGAGGTTTGGGATCGAATTCTGTGGGTAGCACCCATGGGACACAGAAAAACAAATCTAAATATTAGCAAATCAGATCTCCGTACTCCTATGTCACATATTCGCACAACCCCCTACTTCAAGTTCCCTATGCCTAAACCAAGATTCCCACACCCCCATATCTGCTCAGCCTTTCTCCCCATTCCGCAGCAGCTCCAGCTGAATTTTATTTACAGCTTGTGAATTTTGCAAAACCAGTTCTCAAACCATCACCACCCATTCTGACCATCACAAAGACACTACCCCATTTCTCAGGACACATTCCCGCTGAGTCAATTCTGCTTTGTTCCAAGGGACGTGTGCTTAAAATCCCTAGATTCATCACCACCACCATCATCATCCTGGAGATCATCATTACAAGAGAGAGCAGACTTGAGTGGGTGACTGAGCCAAAGGTTTCCTTGCCCCAATTAACTTAACGAACAATGGCATTACTGGCAGTTTCCCAATGAAATCGTACGTTTGGAACCGCCATGAATGACCGCTGGAAAAGATGGGTTACCCGAGGGCTTGGACGCTCGTTCTTTTTATGGTGGAACCGGATGGCTGAATACAGAGTGGTCCCTTTGACTGCTTTTCTGGACAGAGAGCTACCCAAAGCCTCTTTGTGGAATATTCCCCTGAACTCAGAGGGAAAATCACCCCTATTCTCGTTGTTGAGGGAGGCCTTTTAAAAATGGGGCAAAGTGGCCCAACCACAAAACCATTTTGGGGTGCCCCAATCCACATGACCTCTCCCTACTCTAGAGTCAAGGGATGGTTTAGTGGAATAACGAATTTGTCATGTGAAAAGACGGTGGGATTGATAATTTAGGCATAGTCATTAACTACAGAAGAAGTATCAATGATACACCCGACACTTAGAATGAAATCCTGTACATGTCTACTCAGGTGTAAGTCTCACTGAGCTCAAGAATACAAATTCTCAAGTTAGCAAATACAATTCTGATGAGTAACAGCGTTGTGTTTTGTTTTGTTATATTTTAATTAAATAAAATTTTTAAAAAACTTAAAAAAGAAATACGGGACTGCATTCTTTGGCTGAAAGCCTGTGTACTCTTACACACAAATACACCTCATTTAGGCTTACTTCTGAGTAGATAGATAGTTCCTTACTTTCTGACAAAAATCAAGTTACCTGTCATATTTGCCTTTACAATATACAAATGGTTTATGAAGTTGGAATTTTGTCAGCAAGTCAATTTTATAAAATTATAATCTCTCAATACAGCAATAGCTGTATCGCTTACATTAACATCTGGTTCCGCACCGTGGGAACATTTTATTACCCTAACTAGTCGCGATCCTGCCTTATTTCAATCACATGTTGCTTTTCCACATTTGCAGTTGGCTTCCTGTGTCTGTTTTTGTTTGCAACGGCCCGTCTCTCCTTTTTTACTACGTGCACAGAGCTATAGGTACATGTAATTAATTAGTTGTACTGAATGCTGTGAGTTTAATCTGGAGCAATCTTAGGAATGATGGAACAAACAACTGAGAGCTGTTTTGGAATATCCAACATGGGGAAAAGGTGAGACAGGATATATGGTATTTTTCGCTCCATAAGACGCACCAATTTTTTAGGAGAAGAAAACAGGAAAATATAATCTGTTTTCTTCGCTCCATAAGACGCACAGACTTTCCACCCCCGTTTTGTGGGAAAAAAGTGTGTCTTATGGTGCGAAAAATACGGTACCTGCCTGCCAGCTGAGCTTTCCGTTCCAGCTGATCAGCAACGGAAACACCTACCACTACCTCACCCTCATTTTATAAACAAGCCCTAGCATCAGTGGGCTCTGCTCTCCGTTGCTCATCCTTTCTCCTTTTCTGTTGTACCTTCTGCGCTACAACTCTGCACACAGGCACTGCCCATGTTTCTTGCTGATTATACACTCGCTGGCAGTGTAATTTAAAATAATTAAATGACCACATAAATTAGGCCTCAAATAAATAACATAAAATTAAATCAGGGCTCCAGTCGTCCTGACGGGGACAATAAGATGTCCACTCTTGCATCTGATTGCTCACAGGAACAAGAGGCAGAAGGTTCTCCTGAGGTAACCCTGCAAATGCAGAGCAACACAAGGATTTTGCATCCCGGGAAGTATGTGGCCATACTGGGGAAAACACGGCTCACAAACAAATTAGGCCCCTTGGTGACTCTTTAACGAGTGACTTGAGCAGTATCTGAACGTCCCCAGTCCGTCTACACCCAAGGAAAAGCCTAACTGAGTGAGGACGAGGAGAAGTCCAGAACAAAACATGATCTTGGACTGTGAGGAGTCAATATTCCCCTAATTGAAGGCTCAGCTATGAAGATGGGGTGGGTGAGTGCCCAGAAACATGACATTTCTTCACATATCTCCAGCCTCCTCTTTTGAATGGACCTCTGCCCCCAACCCAAACCCCCTACAGGCAATCACACAAAAGCCCATTTACGGTGGCATTTTCTGTTTCAAAGTTAATGCGGTCCTTACTTCTGACACTCAACGGTTTCCAGATGTTTGTTTACAATCCAGCCTAAAGACGTTCAACGGGTTGTTTTAAGAGCAAGGCTGAGCCAGTGAAGGAAACGGTTTGTTTCCAAAAGGCAAGGGGTGTCTTGTCTAACTCTTCCCGTGCAGCAAAATGGGTACAAATGGCAGGTTTTGCGTTGTTTGTATTTTAGACAGAAAAGTGTGTGAAATGAGATGCAGAGACAGTGAAAGAAAACTCAACCAAAGAGACAGGCAAAACAAAAAAAATGAGCATAGAGCCCTAAGTGGCAAGCAAGCAGATTTCTTTTTTTTTTCATTTTATTCATACACGAAAGGGTGGAAATAAATAAAAGGCCAAAAGGAACAGCAAAACAGATACAGCTTACACCGTGGGATTTGTGTGGGTTTTTATTTTACATCGAAAGTTGGAGTGTTTCTGTACAGTCG